TCTGCTGAGCCGTGACACGGAGAGAGACGATGCCTACGAGACTCTGCTGAGCCGTGAAACGGAGAGGGCAGAGATGCAGATCCGTCTGGCCGAAGAACAAATACAGCTGTGCCGGCTTCAGCAAACTGAAACCTCACTGAGAATTCAGCTCCTCAAAGCACGCCTGGATGATCCAGCTGCCTTTGAATGAATGCTTTATTGTTGTTACCCTAGTGGGAGTATTTTTTTAATTACAATTTCATTATGATTTGATGTCCTTTATGTATTTAAAAATATAATTAAACATTATAGATGTCTCTGCAATGTGGTCTCTTGTCTTCCTTGTATTATTTTTCATGTCCACTAGATGGCGATCGGTAGGAATAAAGCACTGATATTCAGGATCTAGTCATCTTGAAAAATCGTAATCTGGATCAGACTGATCCTATCCTGAATTGCTTTGAACTCCAGGGACAACATTTGGCCGACTTGTCTGATCCTGGATCACAAAAAATGGGATTTCAAAATCTGATCGGATCTGATTAAAAGCTTTGAACTCTTGGGCCCAGGACCTGAATTCACCTAAACTTGAAATCACCTGGACCTGAATTCACCTAAACTTGAAATCACCTGAACCCTGAAATCACCTGGACCTAAAATCACCTAAACTTGAAATCACCTGGACCTGAATTCACCTAAACTTGAAATCACCTGAACCCTGAAATCACCTGGACCTGAAATCACCTGGACCTGAATTCACCTGGACCTAAAATCACCTGGAGCTGAAATCACCTAAACTTGAAATCACCTGAACCCTGAAATCACCTGGACCTGAAATCACCTGGACCTAAAATCACCTGGACCTGAAATCACTTGGACCTGAAATCACCTAAACTTGAAATCACCTGGAGCTGAAATCACCTAAACTTGAAATTACCTGAACCCTGAAATCACCTGGACCTGAAATCACCTGGACCTAAAATCATCTGGAGCTGAAATCACCTGGACCTAAAATCACCTGGACCTAAAATCACCTAAACTTGAAATCACCTGAACCCTGAAATCACCTGGACCTGAAATCACCTGGACCTGAAATCACCTGGACCTGAAATCATCTGGACCTGAAATCACCTAAACTTGAAATCACCTGGACCTGAAATCACCTGGACCTGAAATCACCTGGACCTAAAATCATCTGGAGCTGAAATCACCTGGACCTAAAATCACCTGGACCTAAAATCACCTCGACCTGAAATCACCTAAACTTGAAATCACCTGGACCTGAAATCACCTGGACCTGAAATCACCTGGACCTGAAATCACCTAAACTTGAAATCACCTGAACCCTGAAATCACCTGGACCTGAAATCACCTGGACCTGAAATCACCTGGACCTGAAATCACCTAAACTTGGAATCACCTGGACCTGAAATCACCTGGACCTAAAATCACCTGGACCTGAAATCACCTGGACCTAAAATCACCTGGACCTAAAATCACCTAAACTTGAAATCACCTGAACCCTGAAATCACCTGGACCTGAAATCACCTGGACCTGAAATCACCTGGACCTGAAATCATCTGGACCTGAAATCACCTAAACTTGAAATCACCTGGACCTGAAATCACCTGGACCTAAAATCACCTGGACTTAAAATCACCTGGACCTGAAATCACCTGGACCTGAAATCACCTGGACCTAAAATCACCTGGACCTGAAATCACCTGGACCTAAAATCACCTGGGCCTGAAATCACCTAAACTTGAAATCACCTGAACCCTGAAATCACCTGGACCTGAAATCACCTGGACCTGAAATCATCTGGACCTGAAATCACCTACACTTGAAATCACCTGGACCTGAAATCACCTGGACCTAAAATCACCTGGACTTAAAATCACCTGGACCTGAAATCACCTGGACCTGAAATCACCTGGACCTAAAATCACCTGGACCTGAAATCACCTGGACCTGAAATCACCTGGACCTGAAATCACCTGGACCTGAAATCACCTGGACCTAAATCACCTGGAGCTGAAATCAGTGCTCTCACTTCCATCACATCTCTTTTTCGTGCGATATTTTCAGGAGTTAAAGAGGATTATGGAGATTGTTGTAGAACTTGGATAGGAATTCTATCTAATCTATTTTTTTACTGCATTGAGTACTCCTAATACTTTAAGTGCATTTTCCTCATCGTACTGTCTCGATGTAGTACTTTTACTTTTACCTGAGTATTTGTGTGGTATTAGTCCTGAATCTGAAGACCTTTCCACCTCTGATGAATACAGGATCTTTCTGTGTGATCCAGATCCTCCTTCTTTACCAATGTAAAGATAGGATACATGGTCAGAGACAAGAGCAGTGGAAGAGGAGGAGGAATCTGTTCATGTGGAAGTTTGTTATTTCCTGTGTGGGGACAGTCTGAACCACAGGCCTGTCAGAGGGAGACATGTTGAGACCCCAGAGTGTTCTGATAGAAATGTAGAGTAGGGTCTCCAGCTCATAGAACCTGTTGGA